ATAAGGAGCGCGCAGCCGCATAGGCGCTCAGTCTGAGGAGAGTTGAGGGTAGGTGTGGTGTGTCTGTGAGGGAAGGGGTGAGGCGTTTGTCGTGTTTTGTAGTCCTTAAGCTTTTTAAAAGAGGTCCTAAGAGGCTTATGGCGCTGTCTGAGCGGGTGTGGGGTGGGAAGCAGCTTGGGGAGACTTTACTGGGGGCCGCGTTAGCTGTGGGCGCCAGGCACAGTCTGAAAATCACTTGAGGTCTCCTGTGGCCTCTGGTGAGATAACCGTGCCTACAGCATAGGGAACATTAAGCTTATTGCCCACGATGGTGTGTGGGGAGTGAAACCCATGTTCCCATAACTCCTGGACTGAGTGCGTGTTGGGGTTTAGCGCATGCTGAGGTAATGGCTGTTGCTCAGAGCTCCTTTTCTCTCTGCTACAGGTGCTGAGGTGGCTCAGGAGGACTCGGCCTCCCCGGGTGGGGACGGCTGTACCGGTGCTGGTGGGTGTGGGGGTGATCTTGGAGCTGCCCGCCCGCAGCGAGATGTGATGTGTTTGACACACTCGAGTGATTCGTTCCTCTTTGCTGGTTGTGAGAACGAACCTTGCAGAGCAGAGGGGATGCTGTAACGCGCGGTGACAACTGCAACGCTGTGAAATTATTCAGTTGTGTATTTTTATATACAATAAAAGATTAATTACTTAAAAGGTTGGTTGTCAGGACTCTATTTGTAGTTCCTGCTGTCTAAAAATCACCACATTTCCTTGTCATTGGGGACGGGGAAGGAGCTCTCCGCTGGAGAGCGCTTCGAAGCGGTGCAGGGGCTGCTCTGGGCCCGGGTCGCCCCGCAGCGTGGTTGCCTTTTGCCCACACCAAATATGGCGGCCACGGTTTCCTCTCCCTTACGTGGCGCTATGCGTCACTCATATGCGCCGGAAGCGACGCCCTTCTACCATAGCAACCGGAAGCGGGCGGCACGCGGAGCATGGCGGTGTCAGCCATGGAGGCTGGCGCCGCCACCCCC